GGCGGCGGCAACAACAATACTACAGCGAGAATAAAAGTTACGCCTTCTTTCTTTGCGTGAACAATTGGACGGCGTTATGCAAATATTCCCACATAGTGAGGTAGATATGTGGGGACATGTTAGAACGAGGCGTTTTAGGTAGGCGTGGTTGACTTTTATAAAGAATATCTCTTTGGATTTGAGACTTTAGTCTTTGCAACTTTACAGATCTTCTTTATGCACCAAGAGCTTGTAACACTTCAAAGAGAAAGGAAACATTGAAATCGCATCATATAACCCCTTTAATTATAATATTTAGCTACTTTAATTAATTATTCGATCGAGAGAGAGAGAGAGAGAAGGCAGTTGCCTACCTGCATCTGTGCGTCTCTTCAGTAGGCTATAATCTATTTTATTAATAAAAGTCGCGGGGCAGCGTTCTCAAGAAGTTTGTGTCCTCCTGAATGTTTGTACACGTGCGCAGCGCGATCTCCGATCTCACAAACCAAAATAATAGACAAGATTTTCTCAGGCCACATGTAAAATCATATGAATTATAATAAAGATGATTAAAATGAATGTGTATGGATGACAGTTGATTACAATAACATTTCAGTTTATTTCCATCATTAGTAACAGTTTCCCCTGTGGGATAAAGTTAATATATATTAATAATACTTCACTAACTTTGTTATTTACTATCCCTGTTGTAGTATTATTCATAAGATTTTTTTTCACCATGTTTCCAAATTCTCTACCCCAGGTCCAAAAGAAATGTAAAGAATGTACAAACTGAAAACATTAAATACTTTTGTGATCTATTTCCATTTGTTATTTTCAAAAGAGAAATACTGTCATGGATGTCTACAGAGCAGAGGTCACCTTTTTTAAATTCCGATTGGAGAGATGGACTTTTCTTTGTCTTTTGTTTATTATTATTTTGTGCTGTATTGTTGGTTACTGTGTTATTTCTGTTTCAAAAACCAGCAAAAAAATAACACTTTAATATCTATAATCGTTGCATCCCTATACTCGACTAGCTGTTCGAAAACTCACCAACTAGCTGATTTAAAAAGAATAAAAATAAAAGTAGAAATAGAAATAACAATATGTTGTCCCTAGTGTTGAATCATTCACATCACAAGTTACTGCCTATTTATAAGCATACAACAAGCGTTTTCTATGACACTGTCAGTTGTCTTGACAATAAATCATACTGCAATAATATTCATGTCTTTTGCAACAACAAAAAAAACTATATGGCCAGTTTTTCTTTCATTTGCAGTTAATGTCACACATTACTGTATTGTCAAAAACACACTGATCCTCATCACACCTAATTGGTAACTTGTTGTCTGGCACAAGGACTCTGATGGAATGTTGTGGGAGGAGAAAAGATACTTCAGTCACAACAACATACAGCGGTTTGTGAGTCAAACAGGCTCCCGTCACGTTACACTGATATGAGCTGAAGCCAGGGAGGGATTCAGTCTTATCTGAGCACACGTTTATATCACATGACCCACGGGACGGAAGGAGTTAACTCCAAACCAATGGTTAAAAGTTAAGTCTGAAATACTCAACAAGTCAGCTTGTCCGCTGACATTATATATCAGCATATACTGTAATCGCGTTGATATGTAGCAGAAAATAACACTGATGGTTCCTACGAATGACCAACAGCGACAGCTTCACATTTACACAACAGAAGAGTCACAATTTCATTAGTCACGATGAACCATAACAACTTCCTACTTCAGTAAGCAGCGGACAGTGTGAAAGAAAAGCATGCACACAACGCAACAAGCCATGCGTACGGCTGCATTAGTGAACTCTTGTTAGTGTGTAAAGTTTGAGTCACTGTCCTCGCGTGAGTGTGTGGCAGAGGTAAGAGGACTGTAAGTTACCTGGTAAGTAAAAAAAAACAAAAAAAAAATAGTTACCTGGTAAGTGCTCCGCGGTTTGCGTTTATTCGCCGCTCGGTGCTCGTGATAGGTCCACGCGTCAACGGCGCTGCTCTGCTGAAGCAACACGGCCAATTTACGCCTTTGCATGTGAAATCCGCATTTCAGAGGGACCAAGAGCGGCGCCATGCTGAACCGAGGGGCTGAGAGAGGGAACGCCACGCGTGACGTCATTTCCGCGCATGCGCCTGCGGTAGCCGATAGAAATACGACAGTGGACTTTTTAGCTTTATTTATTTTTAGTCACCACATTCACAAAAGGGTTAAATCGCTCTTCTTAATTTGAATATGTGTGTACCCTTCGTTTTCTCTTTTATTTTTTTTTATTTTTTAAAAAGCATGTTCATGATGCTTTTATGCAACTACAGCACTGAAGGGCGACATTGAGTAACTTATATGTTGGGAAACCCAGACAAGCCCTGCTAGCATGGAACCTTTATATAAGCACAATTTTTCACCCCACAATTATTTCATATGAAATAACAAGGAAAGGGTATTTTTACGGTGGTCGAGAAGTGCAAAACCAATCACAATTCTGAAAACAAAATAACAAATTACAAACGCAAATGCAAGTCTAAAAAACAAAATAACAATTCAGAAAACACAACAACAATTCAGAAAACATTATAACAAGTCAGAAAACACAATGACAAATTTGAAAACAAATTAACAAGTCAGAAAACACAACAATAAATCAGACAAACCGGAAGAGGTACAGTGGGTACGGAAAGTATTCAGACCCCCTTAAATTTTTCACTCTTTGTTATATTGCAGCCATTTGCTAAAATTCTCCGCTGACTGGACGAGACATCTGTCAATCAACGTATACAGGAAGAACCAGCCGAAGAACAGCAGAGTCGTGGTAGAAAGTTCGGAGATGGTATTAAAGTAGCTCAGTTTAAATGTATTGTATGAATTGCCCTTACTATGGAATAAAAAATACGGGGTGTCTATTTACATTTAGTTAAAAGTGGCTGTAAATCATCAGCTCCAGTGACGCAGATGGATAAGCATGTGCCCTTGGCTTTTTGATAACCAGTCAGTACTTCTAAAGCACGACCAGCTACCAGCATAAGATGAGCAGGCCACTCCACTGCATACAAATACAATGTGTGTGTGTACTTTCAAGACTAGAGGTGTTGTTGAAGACTCATCTTGCCAGATTTCCTTCCCAAAGAAACAGAGCAAGAAGCTTTGTTACATTCATTTGTGAATTTAGTGACATCTGTGAAAAGAGACACTTTGTAAAAACACGAGAATGTTTTATGAACTGTAGCCTACATTCGAAACATTGTCAGCTTTTACAGCGCACAGAAATTGAGAGATCAGGCCCTTTCTAACGGAGCATGCTGCACAACTTCTGGTCCAGGCCCTTGTCATTTCTAGGCTGGACTACTGCAATGCTCTTCTGGCTGGACTTCCATCAAGCACAATCAAACCTCTACAAATGATTCAGAATGCAGCGGTACGACTGGTCTTCAACGAGCCCAAAAGAGCCCATGTTACACCTCTCTTTATCTCCTTGCACTGGCTACCGGTCGCGGCTCAAATCAAGTTCAAGACATTGATGCTTGCATATAGAACAGCCACAGGCTCAGCACCCGCCTACTTCCACTCACTATTACGAATCTACATCCCCTCCAGAAGTCTGAGATCCACTAGTGAGCGACGCCTCGTGGTACCATCACAGAGAGGCTCAAAATCACTTTCCAGAACATTCTCGTTCACCGTTCCTGGCTGGTGGAACGATCTTCCCACCCCTATCCGGAATGCTGAATCCCTGACAATTTTCAAGCGACAGCTGAAAACTCATCTCTTTCGAAGCTACTTGACTTCATCATAAAAAAATTAAAAAAAATTCTCTCTCTTTATTTATTCCTCCCCTTTCTAGCTTGTACTTATTTGAACAATGTCTAAGAACTTGGTATTACAACCACTTCCTGTGTCTGTTTGCCTCTTTAAGAAGAATCGCTTTATGTATCCCCCAATTGTAAGTCGCTTTGGATAAAAGCGTCTGCTAAATGACTAAATGTAAATGTAAACCTTTGAGACACTCCCTACAGATGCACACAAAGACATTTAGCTTAGCTAGATATTTAGCTTCATGATCTAATTCATTTCCTTGCAATTCCCTTTATGAGGCTGTACAGAAAGTGTTTCTGATTCTTGACAGTAGCGGGGTAGTAAGGTATTCAGCTCAAATTCACACAGACACATCCAAGCTGATGTTGTTTAAAGGTTCAGATTCAAGTGTCATGATGTCAAATAATATGCAGTAGGTGTTTTGTTGTTTTTGTTTTTAAAATACTTAATTCATCCTTTTTTTATTATACAGTAAGGACATCATTTTATGTCACTACTCAACAACGTTTCAGCTTTGTCTGCAAAGATCATTTGTCACATAGATTTCTACATGTTGGACAAAATAAAGCATTTCATTTGAATAAATTACAAAATTAGTTAAAGCTGCAGTCCGTAACTTTTTTGTGTTCAAAATTTATGTAATAAGCGAGTACACCATGAATCCATTTTCCAAACCTGAAACTGGTTCGGGTTGTCACCGCTGCGGAGTAACACATACCTGCGTGATTCGCCATAGACATAAACTTAGAGAAGTAGCTCCGGCTACAATGTTCTTCCTATGTATTTATTTATTTGCAATGCATGAAAACCTGCAGAATCAACTATTTAACATGAGCAAATTTACCTTGTTTTCCCACACATCTCATTTCATCTCAGCATGTCCTTCACTGACACGGTTGTCTCTTTGGTAAATTGGCAACACTAATGTTTGATTATATTTTATAGTGGCAAAATTGTTCAGTGTGGTGTTAATAAAATAACTGATAGAAATCATAATGATTAATCAGTCATTCTTGAGACGTGGGACAAAACAGGTCCAGCAAGGGTAACTGCTATTAGCTTTAAAAAATACAAATATTTTCAATTTTAAATGTCATGAATTATATTATAAATTATCACCTTCAATTTAATTTTCTCATTATTATACCAAATCTGTGTTTCTTAATGTCCTCTCACTACGTCTAAAACAGTGTGTCCACAGAGAAGGGTTCAATCATTCATATGCAATAAAATGGATAAAAGTGTTTTTTTTATGATGAAAAAGAGCTTGTTTTATCAAAAGCAACTCTTAATAATATCTCCTATTGGGAGGTTGTATCAAAGCATAGCTCAGTAGCTTAGTACATATAAGATACATAAATGTAGTTTCATTCGTCTGAGTACAAGGTTTTATTTTTTCAATTTTGCACCCTGTTTTGTCCCACTTCTCAAGAATGACTGTAATATGAAATATTTATTGTTACAATTCGTTTTCATAGTTTTAGATTGAAAGTCTAGTTCTGGCACAATGGTAAAACAAAGTCTCTATTATATAAAAGGCATTTAAAAACTAGCAAGAAGAAAAGTCCATTGGTAAAATGTTTCCAGTTGTATATGCGATTCACACACGATGAACAGAAACACGTTCATCTATTTGTTGAAAGCAACTGGAACAATACATTTCTTGTAAATAAACCTGAAAAGGACAATTGCAATACGTACTGTATTTATACAGTTTATATAAATGTACGTAGCCTACTGTATGCTGAGGAGTCTCGTCTCGTCCTTCTGCTGATCTGATGGGCGCTATACTGTAATGAAGGTAACCATAACTCACACGAATCTTCAACAAGAAAATAAATTAGCCTTCAACTTTAAATAAAGAACCGTTTACATGCTTATGAAGTGGGTTGTCAGCATTGATCTATAACAGAGAACATTATAGTGGTTGTAAGACTGAAGGTAGACGACAAAAAAGGCTGACTGGTTAGTTATAGTTAGGTAATGTTACTAGATGATTCTCTATTAACCTCCTGAGACCCTGCATCCTCATATGAGGACGTTATATTTTAGTGAATTTCCCTGAGACTATACATGCCACAGTCTGGATGTGCTGTACAGAGCACATTCAGGGCTTTTCAGAGACACTAAATGTTTGGATGTTTCACCGTGACCACCCCCTCTCCTTGGTCTTCAAACATGTCTGATAGTAATTTAGTGACACTCTTATGGAAATATGATCATTGTAATTATAATTTAAATCTTCGCATTTTAGGAGACAACAAATTAATAGGGAAAGAAATTATATTTCAATATTCCTATGAAATATTAGATGTTATTATGAAATCTTGTCAAATATTACTCTCAATATTACACTTCTTTTTTCATTACATGTTGCCCCAAAAACACATTAATATGCAAATTAGATTTAGTTTATAGATACATTATATATAATGAGAAAACCTGTTTATGGCCATTCTACACACGTTTTGCATGAAGAAAAATGGTATATCAAATCATTCTGTTATAACATAGTTGAGAATTATCTGTATACAAAGTTTGGTAAAATAAAAATAAAAAAAAATCCTGAAAACTAAAAATGTATTGGTGATTTAAAAAAAATAAATGTCATCTCTTTTAGCATTAATAATTGCAGTGTTATTTCTTGTATTATAATGTCAGATATTTAGATAGATTGATTGCTGATTGTTATGATTTATTTGTATTTTGTCATCTTGTTTAATATTCATAATTGCTGACTGTTAGATAGATAGGTTGATACGTGATTGTTGTAATGCTTTATTTGTGTTTTGTCATTTTGTTTAGCATTCATTCTTGCAAATTGTTATTTGTTATATTATGATATCTTTGTTATAATATCATTTGTTATATTATGATATATATATAGGTAGACTGATTGCTGATTGTTATATTTTATTTGTACTTTGTCATCTTGTTTGATATGCATGCCTGCCTATTTGTTGTGTTATATTGTCAGATTGATTGCTGTAATTTGCTCTATAGATAGATAGATATGTAGGGGTGTGCGATATATATCGTCTACGATAATATCGTAATTGTTGTTTAAACGATATGTGATTTGACATTATCAAGTATATTGCAAAAACCAAACAAAAACACACCCAGAAAGTGCAGGCATACACTGTGAGATGTAGGTTAGACTACTGCGCAACCTTAATAGATTTAGTCTATTAAAATACATTTAGAATTCCCCCAAATTTCAAGATAAGGGGGAAAATATGCCCCCGTATGACTTTTATATTAAATCATCTGATATAGTTAATAGGCCTATCACACGAAGAGTAGGCTTGTTTTTTCTTCAAA